TTGGCTCCGTCTCCACATCCACACGTTCCTTTCAACGGACGTTTCTGCCGCTGCCCCACAAAACACCAAGGCCAAAAACCTCGTCCTTCTCATTCTCCTCTTTAAAACAAGTAAGTTGTTCATGTTCTGGCTCCAGTACAAGAGGAACTTTAAAATCTCCAGGTGCTCAATGCTCACATCCATGTTTGGACAACTTCCGTAAACACAGAGCACGCTCACTGCGGTTGACGTCATCGTGTCTCCAGTGCACATGAGGGACACTTTCGGGCCATTTACTGTTCACACTGGAGTCACATACAAGTTGCATTTAATTGGAAATGCGAACAACCTCGCAAAAACATCGGATTTCACAAAAAATCGGAATTGAGCGTTAAGCCCTGCAGCCTGAACGTAGCCTAAATGTAGCATATATTGTTTTATTTTCCATAGCTACATTTAACATAGCAAAAGAAAAATTCAGTGCAACCAAATGGACACATTTTTCTTTTGTTATGAATCCTACAGGGACGACTGAAGGATTACACAAACAGCTACCTTTTACATCTTGTTCAGTAGAGATCGGCAATTCCAGGCCTGAAATGATCCAAATGAGTCTAAAGAAAATGTTGGGAGTTTGAAAACACAGTAGAGAACTTTGTGCATTACCACATGACATCACAAGGTGGGACAGAGTGTTTTCTGTTTGAGAGAAGAGCTCATCCTAAATATGCAGGATTTGTGTGTTAAACATGTGGGAATGGAAAAAAAAAAAAAAAAAAAAAAAAAAAAAAACACAACTCGAGGTCTGTTTGTACATGAGAGAATAAAGTAACCCGAGCCCTTTAACTTTAAATGTGAGTCGCCTGTTTAATCTCGTGTGTGCAGATCTAATAACGACGTGCACAGTGTTAAACAGACGTACACTCTCTGCCTACACTCACGTAAAGCATTAGCGTAATTAGATGGACGTAAAAATAGCATCTGACCTGTGAATAACCAGGGCGCGCGGACATGGGCGTGGCTCTCTGCTCGTTATGTCACTGAAGACCTTTCAAAGCCCCCGAGCTGTGAACGGACTGCAGGGGGCGCTAATGGGCCGACCCTGCGCGCGCGGCGGGATGTCCACCGCGGGGGACACGGAGCGAGGAGCCTCTGGCCTCCGCAGCCGCCGCCGTCAACACGCGGAAAAACACGAAGGCACGCCGGAAATGCCCTGTCAAAATAAAACACACCTCAGGTTTTTGAGTCGAACGCAGCAGTCTATAGATTCCTACACGAAGATAAGTTTTTGTTTTATATTCCTGGATATACATGTTATATTGTAGACTTTTGACCACTAAAAGAGTAGCCTAATTGAATTGTTAATTACTATGGCAACTGATCAATGGCATTCAATTGAACATTTAGCCTATTCTGTAGCCTACTTTCCCATTATAACCTACTATATACACTTAACAGCATGTACCATAACAAAACAACAACCTGAGCATCGTCTATAAAATAAAATAGTAGCGTATACTGCAAAAAACAAAATCTAGTCGAGTTAAGATGACTTGAATCAAGAAAGTTTTATCATGATTTGAGTAAATTTCACTTGTCAGTAAAATTATTTGCCAATGGAATGAGACTTTTTGTGCTTAAAATATGAAAACACATCTTGCTATAGGAAGAGAAGAAGAAAAACAACAACTTTTCACATTTAAATACAAAACAAAATCGAATGTTGCTTGAATTAAGAAAAACACACTTACTCCATTGGTAGATCATTTTATTTGTCAAGCTGAATCTACTCAGGTAAAGTAAAATGTTCATAATTTAAGACATTTTAACTTACCTAGATATATTTTTTTCCAGTGTATAACTATGCACTGGGCTACTCAGAATAAACAAATCTATTGATATTTTGCAGTGACACCAGGCTGGGGGTGTATTTATTATTTCTATGGCGGAATGTTCATCAGTTACCATTTATTTATTTATTTTATTTATTTATTTGATTGGGACAGAGCATGTTCAATGGACAAACATGACAACATGAATGTAAACACACCGGACCATGGTGACTCAATGACAGAGGTGGGGACTTGCAGCACTGAAAAAACGGTCTGAGAGGGGTTGCTCAAATTGCAAAAACAAATTTGACAACAATAACATCACTTTTTTACGTTTCTCTGTCAAGCATGTTTAAATCTTACAAACATCGCTTGATTGTGGCCGATGTTAGACCTGCATGTTTTAATCAGGTTGAGGAAACATGACTTTATTATAATCTGTGGTGAAGGCTCCTCCCTCTGGAATTCTCCTCCCCAAAACTTTTGGAGGGAAAATTCAAATGTAACAGGACACAGGACAGTTACAGGAGCAGAGACACACAGTGTGGAGCAGGAGGATTATCAGAGCTGATCTGGAGGTGAGACTTTTCAAAGATTTTATTATGTGCTTCTCCGGCCTAGAATGTCGTCATTGTTAAAACATGTTTGTGTTGTTTTATTTGAAATTAGAGTTAATGTAAGGACAGCTTGAAACAAATTGTTTTTGACTGTCCATCTACAAGAGTGTGACACTTGTACTAAGATTTGAATGTGTTTGTTCCAGAGTCGTCTACAAACACAGAGTGACGTCCAGAGCTCTGCTGGAGCTGTGGGGAAGTTCATGAATGTTACAGCTGATGTTTCAGAAAAAAGGAAGATGTTTGAGAACCAACAAAACACAGACCACAGATGAACAAAGTAAGTAAACCAACTAAAATTATTTTAAAATTTTTCAAAATGAACTTCCTATTGAAACTGTTATCGTACTTGTACAAGGTGATGTGGCACTAGGAGACTTTATACCAGATGCCCTCCCTGTTACTGTGTTTAGAGGAAGAAAAGCAGCACATGGTGAGTTTTGTTTCTGCAGATACAGTTCTAATGTTCTTGTGATTCTGTTCTGGTCCGTTATTGTAGTAATAAGTACTTTAAGTGTATTTAAACATGTACAACAGAGTAGATCATCAGAATGTGATCATCATGTGTTATTCTGTGTCCACAGGCAGAGACCAGAGCTTCTTCACTGGAATAAATCTTCACACTGTCCAGCTCCAAACTGTGTGTCTCTGTCCCTGTGCTCTCTTTTGTGTTTGATTCTGTTTAAGACAATACAGAACTGTGGAAAACTAAAGACTGTTTTTGTATTCTTTTACAGAATTAGATCAATTAAATTAAATTATACATACTTATACATTTCATGATAAGGTACCATAAGATAAATATGCATATTCAGCATGATTTGTTCAAATTTCATCAACATGAAAAAGTGATGTTCATGTTCCGAGAAAAATATGTGTAGAGGGGATCGGAATAAGTTTCAAAGCCTAAACATAATTTTATTGCGTGCAACCGCTGTCCATAACTTTTTTACGCAAATCCAGCAACCTTTTTTTTTCAGTGAGGTCGTGACTGGAACTCAAGTCAGACTTAAGTCATTATTTTTAGGACTTGAGACTTGACTTGATAAAATGGACTAAGACTTGGGACTCGACTTGGACTTGAAGGTCAGTGACTTGAGAAGACTTGAGAAGCACTTTTAAATCTGAATTTGTTCTATTCTGACCGTAATGACTCACACTAAGATCTTGTCAAGACATTTAAAAAGGAAAAATTTATATTTTTACAACTCTAATATACTCTATAAATACTCATATGTAAATATACTATGATTTTATAAGTACAATTTAGTTTAAAATTCATATAAATTGCAAAAATCTAAGCTTAATTTGGTAGTTTTTTTGGTTTAAAGACTTGAAATGACTTGAAGCTCAAAGCAGACGACTTGGACTTGACTTGGACTTATGGGCCAGTGACTCGAGACTTGACTTGGACTTGCCTGTATTTGACTTGGGACTTGACTTGACTTGAGGTCAAAGATTGAGACTTACTTGAGACTTGCAAAACAAAGACTTGGTCCCACCTTTGCTCAATGCACAAAAGAAAAAGTACAAAATGGGTTTAAACAGCACATTTTCAGAAGCTGTGATCAATACGAGTGTTCATGGTTCTGTTTCGGTGTTTTCAGCAAAAAAAGGTGAGAGTGACTGAGTGAAAAACTGTTCTATGGACTTTAATATAGGGTGACCAGATGTCCTTATTTTCCCGGGCCCAGTTTTGAGCCCTGTGTCCCCTGTCCCAGCAGATTTATACAAACCAGTGATCTGTCCCAGTTTTACACAAGAAATGTTCCAGGCATCCCTATTTTTGACCAGTTTGATCTAAACCAGGTCTAAACTATGTCTAAACCAGGACTACATCAAGTCTAGATCAGAACTATCGCAATTCTTGACCAATCTGACATCTGCCAACAGAAAAACGGAGCATAAACTATCATTTTTTAGGCAAAATACAGAAATACGTGTTTGCAAATGACCATAAAGTAAAAAGAAGTAGAGTTTAAAGTCCCTCAGATTGTGACTGACAGAATGCACAATGTTAAACACTCTTTAAACTGTTTTATTTATACCAAACATTCCACTGCAGGTGTGTCCTAGTTTTGCATTTTGAAAACCTGGTCAATCTGGTTAACACTCCTTCCAATTAAGGCACCTCCTTGTGATAAAAATTTAATAAACAGGTTTTAAATTAGAAACTGCAGCGTTAATACTGTTTAGGATAAATTACTTTGGGCGTACAGGAAGTGACGTGTGCGTAAAGACATCTGCGTTTATCCAGTCCTCTTATTTTGTAACCGAGCGCACGTTCCGTCACGCACGCTTTCCCCGCGAGCTTGACGATCCATTTCGGGCACAAGAAGCACTTTGTCTCGGCGGAGGGGGTGTTGACAGGAGACCGCGGTGTAGGTGGAGGGGGCTCGCTTGTGTTGGCCCGGTTCAGCAGCGCGCGCTTCCACCGGGGCTGCAGCAGGCGCAAGGACACCACGGCACCGGCGCGAGGGAACGAACGGAGGCCCGAGGGGTTACCTTCGAGGGGGCATCCAGGTGGCACTCCTACCCGCAGACAGAGCACCGCGCACGGGGGAAGGGGTGCTGGGGGGGGAGATGCAGCAGCGAGAGGACGCCCACTTTTCTGAAATGATGGTGGTGATGAGCGCGTGCCAAAGCGCGAGGAAAAGACGCCAAATAATGTCCTCCTTTTGCGCGAATAACGGATTTCCCGAGCCGATTCGTGGTGGAAGCGCGAGGCTGACATCTCCCTGTCTCCATTCATTGGCTTCGGCTCTCCTCTTGGATGAGATGAGTGGCTGGATCTGACATTCTTTTCGTTGTTTTTGTTTTTTGTTTTTTTGTTTTTTTTGCGGAGTTTCAGCCCGTACCTCGCTGCGCACACGGCTCGTTTTGGACACGGCGCGAACCAAAAAACGGGGTGGAAGATGCTGCTGCGATGCTACCGGGGAAAGCTATCGGTTTGGGCCGCTTTGTGCTTGCTGGTGCTCTGCTGGTTCTACGTCTACCCCGTGTACAGAATGCCGCGCGATAAGGACGTAGCGGAGGAGGTGCTGAGGCAGGGAGACGCGTGGACCAAGAACCAGACGGGCATCGATCTGTTCAGGTTTGTGGCCGGGGAAAGTGCACTGCGGCGGGCTTCAACGATCTCCCCCTGTCCTTTTATGCGTGTCTATGTGGTGGTGGTGGTGGTGGATGGGGGGGCCCCCGCTATGCACCCTTTACACCCAATACCCATGACAAAGAGCTCGGGGGATTAAAAGCATCTCATTGCAACGCGTTTCCCCGAAGATTTACAACTTAAATTAAATTAAACACAGACAGGAACCACACTTACCCCCTCATTCGATACTGTCTGGTTTATTTTATGAGACACTAAGATAAGCTTTAAGGTAAAACAGTCGTGCATACTCTCAAAAATACATCAGTTATCCGGTTTGTAATAGGACATTCATTACTGGGAATAATATGAGATGATCGGATAAGGGGATGCTACTGCTGCACGTTAAATCCAAAAGAGGCTTATGTCAGGCTGTAACATAAGAATTGATAAGATTTAATGACCTATAGGTTCAGATTTCAGGTGGAATGGTGAAAAAAGTGGAGATTTTAATTAGAACTGGCTGATGTGGGAAAAGCTGGATAATCTACAGTCACCTACAGCAGCGGTGGAAGAAGTACTCAGTTTTGTTACTTCAGTAAAAGCGCAAAATTAAAAGTATCACATGCAAAATCGACTGAATTAAAAGTATAAACGTAGCGGCTTAAAAATGTACTTAAAGAGCGACAAGTAAAAGTATTTTGAGCTGATTTTGAGATCTAATAAAGCTTCAAATGTAGAGATTTTGACAAAGATTTGATCTGTATTTTGTTCAACAGAAACAACTGAACTGATAATTATTTTTAGCTGTTTTTTATTTTTTTGTATGTTTTTGTTTGGTCAAACTGCAAATGTGTCAATTTGTTTGTTTCAATCTAGTCCAAAAAGTGTAAAAAAGTAGAAAGTACAGACATCTGCTCTGAAATGTAATGAAGTAAATGTTAAAGTATGCTCTTTACTGCTTTTCTACTTCTTTACTACTTTTACTTTGTTGCAATCCATCACTGATGTATATAGTTAATCGAAAATACTTTTACTTTTCAGTTCAGTTCAAAAACGTAGTGGAGTAGAAAGTACAAACACCTGCTCTCAAATGTAGTGAAGTAAAAGTAGAAAATAGAAAGTATCTTCTTTAAAATGTACTAAAGTGCAGATATAGGAGCAAAAAAAAAAAAAAAAAAGAAAGAAAGAAGTATTACATGCAAAATTGACTGAAATAAAAGTATTATCCTACCTGCTTAAAAATTTACTTCAAGAGTGACAAGTAAAAGTATTTTGAGCTGATTTTGAGATCTAATAAAGCTTTGAATGCAGTGATTTTGACAAAGTTTTGATCTGTATTTTGTTCAACAGAAACAACTTCATCGATTATTATTTTCTAGCTGTTTTTATTTGTATATTTTGTTTGCTCAAAGTATAAATGTGTCAATTCGTTTGTTTCAATCCAGTCCAAAAATGTAAAAAAAAAAAAAATAGAGTAGAGTAGAAAGTACAGACATCTGCTCTGAAATGTAATGAAGTAAAAGTAGAAAGTATCTTCTTTACTACTTTTACTTTGTTGCAATCCATTACTGATCTATATAGTTAATCAAAAATACTTTTACTTTTCAGTCCAGTCCAAAAATGAAGTGGAGTAGAAAGTACAAACACTTAAGTAAAAGCGCAGATACTGGAGCAAAAATGTCCATATCACATGCAAAATCTACTGAAATAAAAGTATTAACGTACCTGCTTAAAAATGTACTTAAAGAGCGACAAGTAAAAGTATTTTAAAGCTTCAAATGTAGAGATTTTGACAAAGTTTTGATCTGTATTTTTTTTTTAAACAGAATTAACTGAATCGATAATTGTTTTTTAGCTGTTTTTATTTTTTGTATATTTTTGTTTGGTCAAACTGCAAATGTGTCAGTTTGTTTCAATCCAGTCCAAAAATGTAAAAAAAAAGTAGAGCAGAAAGCACAAAGTGAGTACATCTGCTCTGAAATGTAATGAAGTAAAAGTAGAAAGTAGAAAGTATCTTCTTTAAAATGTACTTCAATGTACCTAGTGGAGTAAAAAGTACAAACACCTGCTCTCAAATGTACTAAAGTAAAAGTAAACACTAGAAAGTATCTTCTGCTGTTCTGAAATGTAGTGAAGTAAAAGTAGAAAGTATCTTCTTTAAAATGTACATAAGTAAAGCACAGATACCATATTGTTCTTTACTACTTTTACTTCGTTGCAATCCATCACTGATCTATACAGTTAATCGAAAATACTTTTACTTTTCAGTCCAGTTCACAAATAAAGTGGAGTAGAAAGTACAAACACCTGCTCTCAAATGTAGTAAAATAAAAGTAGAAAGTAGAAAGTATCCTCTTTAAAATGTACTTCAGTAAAGCACAGATACCATATCGTTCTTTACTACTTTTACTTCGATAATTAATCAAAAATACTTTTACTTTTCAGTCCAGTTCAAAAATGAAGTGGAGTAGAAAGTACAAACACCTGCTCTCAAATGTAGTGAAGTAAAAGTAGAAAGTAGAAAGTATCGTATACCGTACCGTTCTTTACTACTTTTACTTTGTTGCAATCCATTACTGACCTATATAGTTAGTCAGAAATACTTTTACTTTTCAGTCCAGTTCAAAATGAAGTAGAGTAGAAAGTACAGATACCAGCTCTCAAATGTAATGAAGTAAAAGTAGAAAGTATCTTCTTTAAAATGTACTTAAGTAAAGCACAGATACTGTGCCGTTCTTTAATACTTTTACTTCGTGGCAATCCATTACTGATCTATGTAGTTAATCAGAAATACTTTTAGTTTTTAGTCCAGTTTAAAAATGAAGTAGAGTAGAAAGTACAAACATCTACTCTCAAATGTAATGAAGTAACAGTAGACAGTAAAAAGTATCTTTAAAACGTTCTTATGTAAACCACAGACACTGTATCGTTGTTTACTGCTTTTACTTCGTTGCAGTCCATCACTGACCTGTATGGTTAACTGAAAATACTTTTACTTTTCAGTCCAGTTAAAAAATGAAGTGGAGTAGAAAGTACAGATACCAGCTCTGAAATATAGTGTAGTAAAAGTAGAAAGTATCTTCTTTAAAATGTCCTTAAGTAAAGCACAGATACTGTACTGTTCTTTAATACTTTTACTTCGTTGCAGTCCATCACAGATCTAAATAGTATCGGTGCTTTTCTATGTTATTTGATTTGAATAGTCAAATAAACCTTTTCCTCTGAACTTTGCTCCAAACCACAGGCTTTTACTGACAGAAAAGTGACTGTCGAGCGTCTGATTAAAAAGCCTCAAAATGATCATTGATGATTTGTAATAAGTGCATGTCCATTCAGTTACAATTCTATTCACTGCGTAGCCTCAATTTTAGTTTATTTATGTTTCAAGTTTAGTTCTGATTCTTATTTTAGAGCCACAGTGTTGAAGTCATGAGCCGATATCACAAACAAGACTCGACTGAAACACATCCCATCCATTGTCTTTGCTTTAGGATCATAACAGCATTTCTTTAAATTGACGTCTGTCTTGTTTTATCATCACAAAACCAGACGCAGGAACAGAGCTGGAACAGTGGCTCAAAATGTACTTACTCAAGTGAAGTAAAGGTCTTATTTGGTAAAAGACTGAGGTGGCGTTTTTTCTATTTTCTTTTATAACACAATAACATCATGTAAATATGGACTTTCTAAATGTGCAGTAAATGACAGTTTACAGGTACAGTTTTTAAAAAATGATGGATTGATTTGTTTTTATTTTCAGTTTGTTCCAAGAGAGAAAAAATAATTATATACTGTACAAATCCATGTATGGTTCGTTCATTCGTTTTTCAAAATAAAACCAAAAATATAAAAAAGAAAAAGAAAAAAAACAGCAATTTTCTTCATTATTTGTCTCCAAAACGAAAATGAAAAAACAGTTAACAATTTGTTTTTTCAGTTTTCGATTTTGTGTTTAAATAAATAATGGAAAAAAACGGATAACGACCGTTTCCCTTTTTTATGTGACTTCCATGACTGCGATGCCGGACTGAACCAGGACTGAACCAGGACCAAACCAGGTCCGGGACCAGACCGGGACTGAGACCAAGACTTAGACCGGGACCGGGACCAGGACTGAGACCAGAACTGAGACCAGGATTGAGACCGGGACCAGAACAGGACCAGACTGTGATTGAAACCAGAACAAGAGCGGGACCAGACCAGAACTGAGACCAGTGTCCTGAGACCGGGATCAGACCAGGATTGAGACCGAGACCAGACCAGGACTGAAGCCGGGACCAGAGCAAGACTGAGGCTGGGACCAGACCAGGACTGAGGCCGGGACCAGACCAGGACTGAGGCCGGGACCAGACCAGGACTGAGGCCGGGACCAGACCAGGACTGAGGCCGGGACCAGACCAGGACTCAGGCCGAGACCAGACCAGGACTCAGGCCGAGACCAGACCAGGACTGAGGCCGGGACCAGACCAGGACTCAGGCCGAGACCAGACCAGGACTGAGGCCGGGACTAGACCAGGACTGAGGCTGGGACCAAACCAGGACTGAGGCCGGGAACAGACCAGAACCAGACTGTGATTGAAACCGGAACAAGACCGGGACCAGACCAGAACTGAGACCAGTATCCTGACACCGGGATCAGACCAGGACTGAGGCCGGGACCAGACCAGGACTGAGGTCGGGACCAGACCAGAACCAGAACCAGACCTTGATTGAAAGTGGAATGAGAAAGGGACCAGACCAGAACTGAGACCAGGACTGAGACTGGGACTAAACCAGGACTGAAAATGGTTCAGTCCTGGTTCAGTCCTGGTTCAGTCCTGGTTTAGTCCTGGTTCAGTCCTGGTTCAGTCCGACATCACAGTTTAAGTCACGTAAACGGGAAACGGCTGTTATCTGTTTTTTTTTTTTTTTTTTTCCCATTATTCATTTAAACACAAAATTGCAAACTGAAAAAACTAATCCTTATCCGTTTTTTCATTTTGGTTTTGGGGACAAATAATGAAGAAAATAGTTGTTTTTTTGTTTTCTAACTTTTGGTTTTATATTGAAAAACATATGAACGAATGACACACAGATTTGTACGTACTTCATAAATATAGTAAACAACAGAAAAGCACATTCAGCCCATAGTTTCAAAGATGATGTGGTTGCTTCTGTAAACTGATCACGAGACTTAACAAATATTTATATAAAACAAAATTACACACTATACATGCTAAATGTGTTATAGATATACACATTTTAACCCATTTACTGCTGTTTTTTGTATTGTATTATATTATGTTTTTGTTTGATTTAGATCATTCGCTGCTGTCTCTCGCCCTCATACCAGCAAAGAAAAACCTCTTTACAAAATCTGTGAATGTTTGGGCTCTGCAAAATGAACCACAGATGAACCTGGGGCCATCGAGGGCACATGTTTTTTTTTTTTTTTTCATTCTCAGTTTTTTGGACAGTCCATGCCTCATATAAAAGCTCAGAACTGCTGCACTAGGACCGACTCATGATTGGCTCTAGATTAAACTCATCTATTTCAAGAAAGGCTACATTACAGGTCAGATCTGTGGAGAATAACTGTATTTTTGAGTTGTTTCTGTTGAACAAAATACAAATCAAATCTTTGTCAAAATCACTACATTTGAAGCTATATTAGATCTCAAAATCAGCTCAAAATACTTTTAATTGTCACTCTTTAAGTACATTTTTAAGCAGGTACATTAATACTTTTATTTCACTAGATTTTGCATGTGATACTTTTAATTTTACTTTTTTTTTTGGCTCCAATATCTGTACTTCTTACCACCACTGCTGTAGGTTATTGTAGATTATCCAGGTTTATGGACAGTCTTCATGTGAAAGCTCAGAACCTCCAGAAGTCCTTCACTGAGCTGCAGAGGCTGCACTAGCGCTGACACACGACTGGCCATAGATTAAACCCATTACAGGTCAGATCTGTGGCGAGGCAAGCCTATTCACACACAGAATAATTGTATTTTGAGTTGTTTCTGTTGAACAAAATACTGATCAAACCTTTCTCAAAGTCTCTACATTTGAAGCTTTATTAGATCAGATTTCCGGTTTTAAATTGCTGGAATTGTGGAAAAAAAGTGGAGATTTTAATTAAAACTGGCTGATGTGGGAAAAGATGGATAATCTACAGTCACCTACAGCTGCGGTGGAAGAAGTACTCAGTTTTGTTACTCCAGTAAAAGCGCAAAATTAAAAGTATCACATGCAAAATCGACTGAATTAAAAGTATTAACGTACCTGCTTAAAAATGTACTTAAAGAGCGACAAGTAAAAGTATTTTGAGCTGATTTTGAGATCTAATAAAGCTTCAAATGTAGAGATTTTGACAAAGATTTGATCTGTATTTTGTTCAACAGAAACAACTGAATTGACTTTTTTTTTTTCTTGCTGTTTTTATTTGTATATTTTGTTTGCTGAAACTATGAATGTGTCAGTTTGTTTGTTTCAATCCAGTCCAAAAATATATTTTAAAAAAAGTAGAACAGAAAGTGCTCTGGGGCCATCGAGGGCACATGTTATTTTTTGTCATTCTCAGTTTTTTGGACAGTCCATGCCTCATATAAAAGCTCAGAACTGCTGCACTAGGACTGACTCATGATTGGCTCTAGATTAAACTCATCTATTTCAAGGAAGGCTACATTACAGGTCAGATCTATGGAGAGGCAACCCTATTCACAGACAGTATAATTGTATTTTTGAGTTGTTTCTTTTGTATAGATCAAATCTTTGTCAAAATCTTTACATTTGAAGCTTTATTAGATCTCAAAATCAGCTCAAAATACTTTTACTTGTCACTCTTTAAGTACATTTTTAAGCAGGTACGTTAATACTTTTACTTCAATAGATTTTGCAATGTGATACTTTTATTTTTACTTCTTTTTTTTTTGCTCCAGTATCTGTACTTTTACTTAAGTAACAAAACTGGGATCTCCAACCTGTAGCTTGGGAGCCACCAGTAGCTCTCCAACCCCTTCCAAATAGCTCGCCAAGAGATTTAACAAATTTTTGGTGAATTAAATGGCCATTGTAAATGTATCATTTTGATGCCAAACTTTGTGCAGTAATAATTTATGTTTTATAGGCATTTACCTGTACCCATCTAAGGCCATAACTCTTTTATACACTCAGTTTCTTGTGACCGCTAAAATGAGCAGCTCTCTGTTATTTTTGTTTTGTAAAAGTATCTCACTGGAGGAAAAAGGTTGGAGACTCCTGCTGTAGATTATCCAGCTTTATGGACAGTCTTCATGTGAAAACTCAGAACCTCCATTATTCCTTCACTGAGCTGCAGACGCTGCACTAGCACTGGCTCATGATTGAGTGCGTATACATGCACATCAATAACCCGGTTATTAGCCATATCCCGGTTATGTCAGTATTCGGGTTACTGCGTATACATGCGCACTGAGAAACCGGGATACTCATATCCGCGTATACATGCTGATGCGATCAGTTTCTTTTGGACTAAATGACACGACTCTGTGGATTATGTGTGTTATTTCTGTGACAGAAGAGGCGCTAATGATGATAAGTGTGTTTCGTGCGTATAGAGTATAGGAGATAGTTCATGTTTTAGCTTTTCAGCGTCACACGAGTGCAGGTCGTACGAGTGCAGATTGTACGTGTGCAGGTTTAGCGCAGCTCTTAATTTTACAGTAATTTCACTCGTTTGTCACTTTATTTATGGTCAATAACCCGATCATAACCGGGTGATGCTGCATGTATACGCACTCATTGTCTGCAGGTTCTGGAGGATTTAGAGTCCTATTGGGTTTATTTCCAACTGCATTTAGACTTTGGAATTGGCATCCCAAATGAGGGCGTCATGTGAGACTCATTCTGTTTTCTAATTCAGCAGAATGCTTTCTAAAAACAGCTACTTGACCATCATGTCCAATCTTTTGCACGGTAATTAGGGATAAATCAACATCACAAGTGTTATTAGTAAAAGATATATTTAAACATGTCTCTACCTCATATCTGGGAGCACAAGTAGGTCATGTTTATCTAATTTGAATAAAAAAAAAATTGGTAACACTTAACTATAATAACTACACCTTACTTAGCCTTAATAAAGCATGAACAAAGACTTAATTAATAATGAACAAAGATTTTATTAATAATGATTCACACTTAGTAAATGTTTACTAAAGCATAATTCGTCTTCACTTTAGAAAAGCTCTCAAAAAGACTTAACAGATAAACGCTGCCTGAATTATCATTGCATTGCATTATTAGTAAATCATTCTCTCGTAGTTTACTAATGAGTAATAAATGCTCAAATGGTTAGTCCATGAGTAATTAAGTATGAAATAATTATGAGTAACTATTTACAGCACAGGCAAATGAAGTGCAAGTGCTAATTAAGGTAGTAATTAAGTAGTTACTAAGCGTGAGTCATTATTAATTAAGTCTTTTTTCATTATTAATTAAGCCTTTGTTCATGCTTTATTAAGGCTAAATAAGGTGTAGTTATTATAAAGTGTTACCAAAAAATCGTATTAGATTAGATTAGATTTAGCTTTATTGTCAGTGTACGAAATACAACAAACCTTCGTCAAAGCAAATCTGTAGCAGTAAAAATGAATAAATACAGACACATTCTCACATTCATACTAATAAAAACATAAAATAAATAAATAGATTATAGCTCTGAGTCCCTTCTGGCCTTTTATTTGTGCTTATAACCACACTTTAAAGGTGTATTAATGTTATTACTTTGTTTAGAATGTTCCGCAGTGTAGATTAAACCCATCTGTCTCAAGGGAGGCTACATTACAGGTCAGATCTGTGGAGAGGCAACCCTATTCACAGACAGAATATTTGTATTTTTGAGCAATAAACTCACGTATAATGAATAAATGCTAGCGAGATGTGTTTCATGTCATGCTGTGGGACATTCCAGGCAAATCAATAACATCTCCATGGAGACAAGCACGTGACAGACCTTCCGCCAGAAAAGTTACGCAGTGCAGCTTTAAAATGTAAACTTCGAAACACAAAAATTCAAAATACAACAGAGCAAAAGCACAGAGGTATGATTTTAGACTTGCCATGTCAGATTCTGGCAACGAGATGTATAATTTTTATTCCATATTCCGTAAACATGACCTACTTGTGTTGCCAGATATGAGGTAGACAAGCTCAAATATATCTTTTACTTATAACAATTATGATTTTGACATGTTGTGATATTCTCAATTACAAAAACATTCTTATAAAATCAAATTATTTGCCATTTCAGTGCAAAATACACACAAATTCCTGCACTCAAAATGACTTGGTAACCAGCCCCGAAGCAGAAAAGATCCTACAGTATTGTCTTTTGTGGCTGACCTCACAATGTCCAGATGTCTCGAGACTCACTTCCTCTCCCGGTTGGTCCTAACAGGAAGTGGCTGTCCGAATGCTGTGATCCCGGCAGAATGTTCGCGGTAACCAAGGAGAACTCCCCGATGGGCAAAGTCCTGTGGTACGACGGAGAATTCTACCACTCCCACACCGTCAACAACGAGACGTACCAGCTGTTTGTGAAGGTAAGAACAGACCATCACTAACAATAACCGAAATATCATGATATCGTATCGTCAGAAGTCTCACAATATATCGAATTACCAGCCTGTTTGATTAAATTAATTGTTATGATGCAGCGATAATTAAAAAACAGAGGGAACTACATAGACCATGATCCTTTGCTCCATCTCAGTGCCGACTTGACATGATAAAATAACTATTAGAAGCAGTTTTAAATCTTAATTCTTTGGATTATGATGAATATTGGCTCATGCGCCGCCCTGGCTTGAAAGTCCCAGCTCGAGCGTCTCATTCTCTTGGTGGGAACGTCCCCCTCCTCCCTCAGGACGCCCCCTTTTTTTGGGCGGCACACGGGTGACTGCTGTGCCCGGGAGAGGGGGGATGTTCTCGCCGGCCTTTAGTGTGTGATGTATTGAGTTAGAAAATCAGCTTCTATATCATAATAAAATTAAATGTGAGTGTAGCGAGACCAAATGTCGGGCCTTGTTTATGTCATTTTACTGCTCTTCTCAAAGCGCCACACATTTTTTCAATCTGTAATATCAATATAATTCTTATTTGCTCACAAAAATTTACTATGATACTATTTTAAATAATTTGCTCTTGTTCACCATGTCCTATAACATCTGTAGTTGTTGATTTGGGTAGAAATATGAATTATTTCCTAACTTGCCATGAACATAATTTGTAAGCAGCGCAACACAACAAACCTAAAAAGCTGCAAAATTTGTTCAAAAATCATTAAGAATCACTTTTTGGAAGGTCTTAACTATGTATTTTATTGAAATATGTTTATAAAATCCTGAAATAGTTGTGGCACTCACTCCGAAATGTTTTTATATGCATATCTATTAACTAACTTTCATAAAGAGTACAATTCAGGGGGACTTTCCAGCTGATTTCCATTATAACAGAAACAACAGACGGTCAAGGCAGTTTTAAAATGGACTGGAGCATATTCACAATTTTGTAATAAATGTAAATTGTAATGTAAATAATCGCAATAAATATCGTACCGTAAGAAGCATATCGTGAAAATATCGTGTCGAGATTTGGAAATGTTTACATCCCTATAATGCACTGGCCAGTTATCACGGTAAGAATACTTGTAAATGAAAGCTGCAAAAAGCAATATCTAGGTTCGTTAAAATGTCGTAAATTAAGAAGCATCCCAAAGGGGAACCATAGTCTGTATATATAAATGGACATAACTAACCTTCTACCCGCTGCGTTAAAAATAGGAAGTGTCCTTGCGGATGCTTCCTGCTCCTCCTGACCCTGGCTCTAATTAACTTCCTCTAGATATTGTCTCTTTCTGTAACTGCTCCTGTGAGTCTCGTCATTTTGGTCTTAAAATGTTCGTATTAACCCGCTCTACATGATCCTGGGGTTTTATTTAGCTCCAAATTCGTCTCTATAACCTCAAGCATCGACAGCTTCATTTGAATGGAGCTAAATACTACGGGTGACTTCACACTCCCTTCGTCCACTTCTAATGCAAACAAAATGAAACAAAATGCAGCTCCAGGTCTGTTTGTGATGAGGAAACAACATTATAACTGAGATCAGAAGATAGAGGAATATAGGCCCCTTAATCTACTGCAGGGGTCTCCAAACTTTTTCCTCTGGTGAGCTTCCTTTACAAAACAAAAATGCTGTTTAGTTTAGATTAGTTTATTGTACTTATTTAGTGTCATGCACCATTTAATTGGTGCCCAGCCCGCATGGACTTATAAGACACATAAAACAATAAGCAGACAGATCACACATCAAACATAAAGTGTCCTTTTACGGAGGTCCCAGGCTTTCAGCACAAACTGCACAAACATTACATTTAAACAGATACTTTGGTCTCTCCTCATCAGACACAGCAAACCAACAGTAAGAGACACATTAGACAACAACTGACAGCACAGGTCATGATACAGAGGACAGTAAAACAGAAAATTTTCAATGTCCTTTAAGTCGCACAGAGCACAAGTGCGCACTTCCTCTGGGACTGAGTGGAAGTTCATGCTATAGATCGAGCCTTTGTGTAGAGTGAGACGCCTATAAAACATAAACCATTGTCCATTTATGAGTGCACAAATTTGGGCTTCAAAAGCATACATTTACAACAGTAATGGGCATGTAATTAACCAAATTTTTGTTGGTGGTGGTATAATTCCGAAATCCCTTGGAAGGGGGTGGAGAGCTACCGGTATCGCCCGAGCCACAGGTTGAAGACCCCTGATCTACTGTATATCAGATCTAGAATATGAGACCACATGGTACTGTTAAAGAAACAACAACTTCTTATGTTGAAAATGGCTTTATATTCTCTTCGTTCCAATATCAGCGTGTTGGAATGAGTATCAAGCCTCAGCCTCTTGATTTTAACATTGTGATAACACTAGCTGCTACATACTAGTATCTGTTTTCAGTTCTTTTGTTAATACCCGTCATAATATTTGAACATGTCTACCAGGGATGGGCATGATTAGTCGATTAATTGATAATTTATCATTAAGAATTTCGTCGATTATGTTCATTTATAATCAACAAACCGAATGTTGGTTGCTGTGCGTAGCGTAGGGTGACCAAACGTCCGTTTTTCCCCTGACATGTCCGTTTTCCACGTCCGGTCCTGGCCGTCTGGGTTATTTTTTATTTTTTTTATAAAGTGATGCAAATGTTCAGGTTTTCATTATCTTTCATTAGGTCATTAAACTGAGCGTCTCTCGTAGCTCTCTGTGACTCAGAAGGAGCGAGCAGACACAAACAGTCGGTCAGTCTGCAACGCGCCGAAGCACAAATGCGCATTTAACGATGAATTGTACAAGAAATTTGCCGCTTTCCGTCAGGGTCGAGACAAGTGGGAGGCCATGTGCACAGTGCACAAAGCAGCACATATGTTTCGGTGTCCAATGGCGGTGCCGGGAACCTCAAAGCACTAGGACATCGAAAAACATTAAAAAGTTTTGCCAGGTGAGAGTAGCTCAATGTCGATGACGAGGCCCCACCTCCCACCCCCCGTACGATGTCCTGGTTTTGACAAACACAAATATAGTCACACTAACCTGTATTCCACTGAGTCGTGTCCTTTAGTCTGACAGAAGTTGACCGCATCAGCGCACAAGAACAGTTTTTTTCTTTGCTTAGTTTATGCAAATTAGCCATGCAGTTTTAAGTTTTAAGACTTGCGCAAAGCTGCATTAAACACTTTATAATCCTAAACGGGCTGATGTGGCTCTACGGTTTATATGTCGTAAAGTTGAATTTATTTATGCAGATTAGTAGTGTAGATAGTAATAATAATGGTGATAATTTTAATATAAAAATGTTAATCGATTAAGAAAATTTAATCGAATGCCCATCCCTATTGTCTACCTCATGTCTGGGAACACAAGAGGCTCTATTCACGTTTACAGCACAAACCAGGAAGACGTTTGGAAACATGCGATGAGCTCTGGTGTAGTTCCAGATACTGGGCTCGCCGACCAACTGTGATTAAACCCGCTGAAGTAAATATGATCAGCACTAAAATGAAGACTGTGCTGTTTGGAATCATCTTGAATTTGGCGCCTCGTCTCTTCTAATCACATGAACCCAGTGCACTCGAAGTTGTGTGTCAGTGGGGAAATGATGAAAAGTGAAATCTGGTTGTAACGGTTGATTAGTCGAACATAACAGAACTCTTCAATGACATGTAGATGAAGAAAACTGGGTCATTTTCTCATTTTTCCTAGATTTTGTCAGACTTACTACCGTGAACAGAGCCCGCCGGAAGTTGTCATCGCATGTTTCCGAACGTCTTCCTGGTTTGTGACGTTAAAAATTACACAAACCAAACTTTTAAAGGGATAGTTCAGGATTTTTGACATAACTCTGTGTGGCATCCCCGTGAGCAGTGTCGTGCATCAACACTGACTTACCCCCGACAGCGTCCGGTGAGCCAAGATACTGGCCGTTTTCGGTGCTGACGAAAGTAGGCTGGCAAGTTGGCTGGGGACAGTACAATAAAGCGTGTTTCTTCTCAAAACAATGTCTGTTCAAAAGAGTGATACATTTGCATCACAAAACCATCGTCGTGTAAAAAGTCAAACCTCATATTCGCTCGGCGCTATTTTCTCTCCGTTCGTATCACTGCGTGCTGCCGCCAGGTGACAGCCGCGTCTGGTTCACTTTGTTTACTGCTCGGAATGTTAGCGACAACATGTCTGATTACGATACCGACAATAAAGACTTTGCCTTTACCACAAAGCCAAGGGGAGATCTTTATGAACCCGAATATACTGATGCCGAATTTTGCCAGATGGAGTTAGAACAGGCAGAGAGAGAAGAGAGACAGAGAAGTGGTACAAGTTGGAAACTGGAGCCACAGATGGAGCTGTGAGAGACCGAGTGAGCGACAATCACCATCACGTCATTTAGAAACTCGCATACAGCGAACATAGAGCCTACACTGTGACTGGAAGCATGGACGACTAATAGAAACATGGAATCATCCACACGTCCACGTAGCTGCTGCCAATAGTGTACGCGGCATTTACAATAGTAATAACAGTCGACTTATAAAGTTATGTTTTGTAGAAGTATCTCGGCTCACCGGACGCTGTCGGGGGTAAGTCGGTGTTGATGCACGACACTGCTCACGGGGATGCCATACAGATTCATGTCAAAAATCCCAAACTATCCCTTTAAGATGTAAAAAGCAAAACAGAGCAAGCTCTATTGTTAATATCCACTGTACACAGACTGGCCCAGTAAAACGGCTCACGTATACCCGCAGACAGCTGTGCCTGCATTAGCACTAACCAGGTCCAGATGAAGGAAATGATTTTGCTTCCCTCAGCACAATATGATACTCTCAGGATTTAAAGGCTTTCTGGATAGATCTTACAGAGCAGATGGGACAGTAGGATCCTGTAGTGAAGAAACGTCAATACTCAAACAGATGGGGACGTGGTTTCATGTAGCTCACGGTAATGCCACACCAGGGAACCTCCACTCACTCAGAGCA